CCAGAGACAAAGTCAAAGAGAGAGACCTCATCTACCGCATCACACAGTAAGTACAGCTGCAGGTCCTCGATCCAGACGGCAAAGTCAATGGCCCTCCCCTCAGCGTCAAAAGTGAGAACATTGGGGGTGGCCATGGCAGCAGCTGAAAGTCTCACCGGGATGGGAGAGTCGGGTAGGTCAGCAGCAGGCGGCTCGGGCTGCTCGGGCGGCTCGGGCGGCTCGGGCGGCTCGGGCGTCTCGGGTACCGGGCGGCTCGGCTGCTGCTGGGCGGCTCGGCTGCTGCTCGGCGGTTCGGCTGCTGCTGGGCGGCTCGGCTGCTGCTGGGCGGCTCGGCTGCCGCTGGGCGGCTCGGCTGCGGCTGGGCGGCTCGGCTGCTGCTGGGCGGCTCGGCGGGGCCGTCAGGGTGCAGCTGCGGGGCCGGGACAGGGGACGGCGGGGCCGTCAGGTGGCGGGCCAGCAGGCGAGGTGGCGAGCCGTCAGGTGAGGCGGCGGGGCCGTCAGGTCAGGTGGCGGGCCAGCAGGTGAGGCGGCGGGGCCGTCAGGTCAGGTGGCGGGCCAGCGGGTGAGGCGGCGGGCCGTCAGGTGAGGTGGCGGGCCAGCAGGTTAGGCGGCGGGCCGTCAGGTGAGGCGGCGGGGCCGTCAGGTCAGGTGGCGGGCCAGTAGGTGAGGCGGCGGGCCGTCAGGTGAGGCGGCGGGGCCGTCAGGTAAGGTGGCGGCGGGCCGTCAGGTGAGGCGGCGGGGCCGTCAGGTAAGGTGGCGGGCCAGCAGGTGAGACGGTGGGCCGTCAGGTGAGGCGGGGGGGGCCGTCTGGTGAGGTGGCGGGCCAGAAGTCGAGGCGGCGGGCCGTCAGGTGAGGCGGCGGCCGTCAGGTAAGGCGGCTGCGGGGCCGACAGAGGTGCAGCGGGGGGGGGGGCCTGCTGCAGCGACGAAGAGGCCGCGCGGCCGTCTTGAGGGCGGCGCGGCGCGGCAGAGCCGAGAGGGCGGCGCGGCGCGGCTGTAAGGGCCGCGCGACGTGGGGCCTGAGCCGCGCGCGCGAAAAAAAATTGAGTCGCGCGCGCGACTCTCGGGGCGCCACAAGGGCAGCTCGACGCGCACTAGGGGGAGCGCGCCTCGGGGAGAATAGGGCGCGCTCCGGGCAGGAAAAAAAATCGTGGGTGGGCCCAAAGAACGGTCCTTAGGAGGGACCCGCTCTATACCATGTGAAACTAACTGAACAGGAATGAATTGACTAAGTCAGAGTTGGGTACGAATACAACCCTAGCAAACTGTACCCCATATGTGCTACCCCACTATAGCCTACAAACATGCATCAGCTATAATAATCTGACAGTAACCGCCACGTAAGTCAATCTTCGAGAAATAGCGAGCGCCGCGAAGTTGGTCGAGGAGTTCGTCGGTGCGTGGGATTGGGTAGCGAGACTTGATGGTGACCCGGTTCAGCGCACGATAGTCGATACACATGCAAAGCCCGCCGTCTTTCTTCGGAGTGAACAGGATCGGTGCTGCGAAGGGAGATGTGCTGGCCCGAATAAACCCCTTCTCCAACAGTGCATCAATTTGACTTCGCAGCTCCTCGAGTTCCGGCTGGGTCAACCGCCATTGTGTCCGAACAGTCGGCTGCGCGCCAGGTTCCAGCTGGATTTTGTGGTCCTCAGGTCTCTCGGGTGGCAGTCCAGGTGGCAGGTCGTCGGGGAAAATGTCCGAATATCTCCGAATCAGCTCCGCTAAATCCAGTGGTACAGCTGCACACAGCTTCTCGATGTCCTTTCCCTCGATGTCGATTGCCAACTCGCGTAAGCAAACAGCGAACAGTTGCGCGCCTCTGTTGAAGTGGCGAGCTATAGTGATAGCTTTGACGCACGGGGCTTGGATGTAGTCAGGTGTCCATGCAGGTAATTTTATTAACCCCTCGTGCTTGCTGATGCTGCACGATCCCGTTGTCCAGTCGATGACGGGGTTGTGCCGTCGCAGCCAATCACGTCCCAGCAGTACGTCGCAGCCGTCCAATGTTGTCGCGAGAAACTTCATGCTGAAGCCGAAATCGTCGCCGCAGTCGATCCTGACCGTTCGTGTTTCTTCCGTTATCGCCAGAGGCGTCCCATCCACGAGGCGAGCGTCAATTTCGGGCAGACACCTGTCAAGTTGCAGCTTGCATCTTTTTGCGCTCGCCAAGTTGAAGAGGCTATGGCTGGCCCCCCCATCGACGAACATTTTCAGATTATTTTTTAACACCTTGCCAGCGACCAGCACAGAGTGATCCACATGATTATCCCCGTTATTCGGCCGAGTGCGATCGATTGCATGAATCGGAACCACGACTCGATGGGGATGATGGTTTTTGGGCGACGGAGCACAGTCAGTAAAGGGCCCGCTAATTACTGACTCTTCCCATTTCCCTGCTCCTTCCTGTCGTCCCCTGTCAGCGGCATTTTCTCCTGGCAGTCTTTCCTGTAGTGACCCACCTTCCCACACCGAAAACACGGACCCTTAGGAGGGCGGTCGGGTGTATGGACGGCGTTGATCGTGGCCCGATGGGTCTGGCCACGAAAGCTTCTCCCATCCCTGGAAGCTGCTCTCGCGTACTGCATCAGCGCATCAGTTGACTCCGCCACGCGTACTGCTTCGAGGAACGATGTCGAGCGGCTTCGGCGGACCTCAAACTGTATCTCATATTTAAGGCCGCTGACGTATTTATCCAACCGCTCTGCTTCCGACATGTCATCGATCTGGTCGGCGAAGCCCATAAATGACGCCGTTTAGTCTTGGACAGAAGCCATCTGCGACCATGCACGCAGCTTCATGCGAGCTTGCTTCGAGGCGGATACGTGCTCGAAGCGATCTCGTAAGGCTGCGCCCCACTCCTTCCACGTGCGTATCTTGGTCACACCGAAGATCGGTTCTGCCACTTGATTAACCACTGTAGAGGTCCCGTCTGCCGCATGTGTCACACCTGTCGGAGTCCATGTTTCCAAGGTCCGGCGCCACCATTCAAGCGCCGCGCCCCGAAGAAGTGAAACCGCGTAATTAATACGCGTGGCATCGTCGTTAACGCCTTCTGCCGTGAAGAAGACCTCGACACCGAACAGCCACCCCTTCACTGTAGTTGTCTTGTCCGTAGGATTAAACGGGGGCGGGTTGACGGGCTTGATCTTGATCGTCGTAACTGCAACTAGCGCTGCTGTCGCTCGCTGCCTATCTTCTTCTTCGAAGTCACGTGTGAGAGCATCCAGTGGGTTGCTCATCGCCTGACTGTTGCCCTCGCCTTCGTCCACAGGCGACTCCTGACGCGCTTCACCTCGCGTCTGGCGTAGCTCGGCGTTTTCCTCTCGAGTGTTGTCACTTCCGCCATTAATGTCTTCATGCTCTCCTGCATCTCTGCCACCTGCGCCATCATCCGGTTAACAGCCTCCTGATCCATGTGCCTAGCGCTACGTCTGGTGGGCAGTCGGGTCTCCGTGGCTTTCAGGCAAGTGAAAACACGAACTATCGGAGTCGGGCAGGATTGAATTAACAATCCCTGCAGCCAACCGTCGTGTAGTCACTAAACCAGCCACACCCTATGCCACCAAACTACCCTCGGAAAAGCGGGGTGAACTAGGAAAGTAGCTCTGATACCAGGTGTTATGAGTTGTAAAAGAGAGTGCGCAGGTAAACGAATAACGAGACTGTCACTGAATGAACTGAGAATACAATGAGTGCATAGATTAATGTAGGGCTAGCCTAGCTAGGAGGAAACCTCGGAAGACGAGGTTGGGTGCAAGTTTGGCGATGGAAATGCCGAAGGCGACGCGAGGAGCCTCGGCAGCGTTGAAATCGGCCGGACGTGCGAACTCCGAAAATCGGGTTGTACGCGAAGCAGTCAACCCCGATAAGGAATTCGGGAAAATTCCTTACACTATTGGTTCATAGTCAATGCAGCTTGCTTGGGGAGCTTGTAACGTGACTGCAACTGGCTCGCGCAAAATACACGGGTGCAGAGTTTCTGCCGCGTACAAGGCAAATTCGCGCGCAGCAGTTGAGCAACATGTGTACCCCTGCTGCTCTCATCTGCCTGATGTCGTCAGCCGACAAAAGCCTGCCTTGCCGTAACCGTCTACAGAGGGCGACCACCAGAACGACGGTTACAGAAGGCGTCTTAGCGTGTCGATCACGCTAACGCAACCTCCGGCTTCAGCTCTTCATGGGCCGGCCGGCCACTCAGTCGCGGTGACGTGTAGCAGACTCAGCTGCAGTTGCACGCGTGCATTCTCAGTCCCGTGCTTACAGTTAGGAAACTGTACTGTACAGTACACTGTGATTCGCCTTGTGAGATAGGATTCGTCCACATCAGGCTAGTAGATCTTCCCTTGCACCTGAGGCGGTGTTGTCGTTTATTGGCATGGCTCACGCAACAGGGTTTCCTGTTGATTCGGCTTGCCTGAGCGGCGCGTGCAGTCAACGCAGTCAACGGCGGTGGCGTGCACCAAGCTCGCGATTCCGCGACGCGCTAGGCCCTCAGGCTTCAAGTTCCGCTGCAACAGGATCTGGCTCGCGAGAGAAAAGCATGCTGCGAGTACGTACTTAAACTGGCAACCCCCCAGGGTCCCGACCCCAGGCCAGTCAACAGTCACCAAAGAATCCTGCTCTCTCCAGTTACCGTTCGCATTGCCCGCTGCAACCGTCTCTCTGGGCGTCCTTTTCCGCCGCTGGTGCCATGTGTAGTTCAGTTCAAGGGTTTTCCATTCGCAAGACAATGGCTCGTGTGCTGGTAGCGACGCCCCGTGCACAGACACCTTCAGCACCTGCAGCACCACCAGCCGGTCGAGCATTATGCTGCCCGCCCCGTCGTTTCCCCGCGCTGCTGCTTCTGAAGCCGCCGCTGCTGCTTTTGCTGCTGACGGCGCTGCTTCTGCTGTCTGCAGTGTCCCCGTTACAAGCACAGACTCAGTCGTTTCGTACCCTTACTTTCTTCAACGCGTCACAAGGTGAGAAGGCGATCGTTGCTGCTTCGTCTCCCTTGTATGTATCCATTTTCCCGTGCCCTTTCCAACGCTCAGTGCACCCACTGCCTACCCTCACCGGCGCACCATCCCCCCACAATCCCACCTTCCCCCTCGTCTCCGCCAGGCGCGGTTCTGGCGGAGGTGCAGCGCGAGTGGGGGGTGAGCTGGAGCCAGTGGCGGGAGGGGGGCGACTGCTCTCAGGCGCAGGGGCTGGCGTGTGACGCACAGGGGCGGATCGTGAGCATGTGAGTGCTGCCGCTGCCACACAACAGTGGCACGCACACGCTCTTGCTCCCTCCACATCGCTCGTGTGCTGTGCTTCCAAACATCTCACGCCATTATATCGTCTTTCTAGTGGCCCCTCTGCTGCCCCTCCTGCCTGTCCTCTCCTACCTCCTCCTAACCACCCTCACATGGCAAACCCCACGCCCCCGCACGTTCCCCTGTTCGTTTCGTCTCCTTCTGTCCCCTTAGCAATCCCATGCCGTCTAACAGCTGCTGATGACCTCATGTGTGGCAGTTCATGAGTTGACTATCAAGCCCATGCCATGCCACCCAACGGCATGATAACCCCATGCATGGCAGGTATCTCCCCAATGCGCGCCTGCATGGACCCATCCCGCTCGCCATCGGCCGTTTCACGGGGCTCACCATGCTGTCAGTACCCCTGCCTCTGCCTGCTGCATCCCCCCTTGCTACACGCCACACACCGTGCCGTGCCCTTGTGTCGCATGCCATGCCCTGACATGTGGGCCATGCACCATGTGCCATGTGTTCCGTGCCCTGTGCCATGCCATGCGCAATGTGCTCCCTCTTACCTCTTCCCCGTCCCATGCCACCACCCTGTCGGCACTCCTCCCCTCTCTCACGTGCACAGTGATCTCAGCAGCAACAGCCTGGGTGGCTCTCTGCCCTCCTCGCTCGGTCTGCTCCACAGCCTCGCCCATCTGTGCGTGCTTCCACTCCCCCAGTGGATGCTTCCATTGTATTTCAACTCGCACGCGAGTCCTGGCACATACATGCGTGATAACGGCATTTCTCTGTGAGCTGCCCTTTCCATCCGCTGCAACCTCCCGTTTTCAACTCTAACCCCTCTTTTACAATCTGCAACCGCCCTCTCTCTGTTCTCGTGTGCCTGTGTGTTTCAGGGACGTGAGCGACAACAATCTCAATGGCTCCTTGCCTGCTTCCCTCTCCGCGCTCTCAGGCCTCTCGCACCTGTGAGTGACCCCCTGCCATGCGTCATGCCGCGTGCCACACACGCATGGGTTAAGCACATCCACCAATGCGCCTCTCTCACGCATGACGACCAGTATGCTCTATGCTCATGCACTCCTCCTTTCTCCCCCTCCGTCATTCCTCTCCTCGCCTAACCTCTCTTGTTCTCCCAGCAACATGAGTTTCAACCTTCACTATTTAGGCGACAGCAACGGCATATCAGAGTCTGACCTCTCCCCACTGCTCCGCCTCTCGTCTCTCTCCGTCCTGTAAGGCTGCCTGCCTTCTGTTCATCTTCCTCTCGCTCCTCTTCACTCTCCTTCCCTACCTTGGACCAACCAATCCACACAAGGCTTTCCACGTGAGGCTCTACTATTTTTGTTTTTTCTACCCACTACCTTTGTTCCCTGACTTCACTACCTTCAAACTGTCTCTCCGTTGCCTCTCCTTCCCTGGTCAACTCCCACCCATCATTCCCCCCCGTGACGATTGGCAGCGATCTGAGCTACAACCAGATGGGAGGCCCGTTCCTCTCCTCGCTGCACCTCCTGCCCAACCTGCACCACCTGTGAGTGCTGCCGTGCCCACGAGCTCTTGCACGGTGGTGCCTGTTTCCTCTCACCCTCATTCTCCTCTGTTCTTTTCTCGTTTGGATGCTTCTTCATTGCCCCTACTCCCTTCTCTCACCTCTCGCTCTCTCCTATCTCCTCCCGGCCTCTCCTCTCGCCCCTCTCCCCAGTGCCACCCCTTCCGATCTTCCTCTTACCATGAAGTTTGCTTCCTCCCTCCTTCCCCGTGCAGCAATCTGCGGTGGAACCAGTTCCTTGGTCCGCTGCCCTCCAATCTCTCCGCACTGGTCAACCTCACCTTCCTGTGAGAGACTCTTTGGCCGCCTTCACCGCACCATGCCGCCACCGGCTCTGCAACACAAAGTGTCATACACACTTTTCGCTTCAAACTTGCACTTTGACGGAGTGTTTGAGTTGGAGGCGATTCTCCCCGCAAGCACATTCCCAATCTTCCTTGTTCAGTGGTTGACGCCAGTCTAAATCTCTCTTTGCCACCTCCTTGCTCTCCTTGTGCGTCTTGTTGTCTGTGGCTGCTCCTGCGACCAGGGACATAAGCCTCAACATGCTATGGGGCTCCATCCCTGCCACCATTGCGCAGCTCTCTCTTCTCAACACGCTGTCAGTGCCACGAACCACGCATTGCACCACCACCCACCATACCCACAATCCTGCACTGCACTGCAGCAGACTGCTCCGTGCATCGCTGTATGTCCACCGCCTTTGCTACGTGGGCACACCGGCACACATCACCACACACACACGTTCTGATTGCGTCCGTCACTTGTTCCTCTCCTCGTTCATGCCTGGTTCGTTGCACCTCGCTTCCCCCCTGCGTGTCTCTGCGCATTCGTCTGCCATGCAGGAGGCTGCGGGGCATGAGTCTGTTCGGGTCTGCTCTGGAGGGCTCCATCCCTGCGTCCCTCTTCTCCCTCGCACTACTCACTGCGCTGTACGTGCACACATTTGAGGCGCCTCAAAAATCCTTTTGAGGCGCCTCAAAACTCTGGAGGGCTCCATCCCTGCGTCCCTCTTCTCCCTCACGCGCCTCACTGCGCTGTACGTGCACACATTCCCTATTGCCTCGTGCTCGTGGTGCTACTGCCTGTTCACACGGAGAACTGCCACTGATTGGATTGCACCGCGACCAGCCTGTGGGAGTGAGTGAGCCGCCGTTCTGCTCACACCACATGATGCTCATGTTGAGAGGGCTGCCCTGCCCTGCCCTGCCATGGCATGGCATGGCATGGCATGGCTGGGCTTGGTCCCAACTCAACCACACTCCATGCTCTTCTCTCCCGCTTTCACGCCTCCCACCAACCATAGCCTGAGAATGCTTTCGTCAATCAGTTACATCGTCCTCTTTCTTTTCTTCCTGACCCATCCACTCTCTTTACCCCGTTCGCCACCCTCCCACCCACCCTCTTCTTTTTCCGCTCTTCCAGCGATTTGAGTGATAATTCGCTCTCTGGCTCCATGCCTGATGACATCAGCAAGCTGTCTCAACTGAAGCAGCTGTGAGTCGCCCCTCCATGAGCCACTATGCGCCGTGTCATGCGTTTTCACCTCTCGCCATGCCATGTATCAAACCTCACGCCGCACGACAGGCAAAGCTGCTGCTCTGTGCCACACCGCGCAAAGCAGTCGAGATTCGCGCTTGGCAACTCTCACAAGTCACCACACAGAATGCATGAATGAGAAACCTCACGCCCTGTGTTGCCGCACTCGTTTCCCTTCCATGGCCCGTTGCGCCCTCCCTTGCTCACGCCCCCCCACCAGTCGCCTGGGATGGAACATCCTCCATGGGCCTGTGCCGGCTGCTGTGGGCCGCCTGCAGCTGCTGGAAGAACTGTGAGCACCAGGAGGGATGGGGAGATGGGGGCGCAGGGTACAGTGGGGAGGTGACTGGGGAAAGGGTATGGGGGAGAGCAGGCATGGTGTGGGTGAGGTGTGGTGGGTCAGAAGAGAAGCTGTGACGTTGGGCTTGCTGTTATCAGCTGTTTTTGAGAATTCTCAAAATCAATTTGTGATGCTGGGCTTGCTGTTACTGGCTGCTTTTTTTGTGCAGAAGCACTTGCTCTTGTACTTGCTCTCTGCACAGCATAGGCATGCTGTCTTGATGGGTGACTGCTCCTTGGCATGGTGAATGCTGCGTCTCATCTCACGCGCTCCCTCTTCTGCCACGGCATCTCCATCATGACTGCATGCATGGCACTGCATGACGCATGGGGCATGGCGCATGGCGCATGGTGCATGGTGCATGGTGCATGGTGCATGGTGCATGGGGCATGGCAGGGATCTGAGTGCAGCACCCAGAGTCAACCTATCTGCCTCACAGGACCGTCTCACCGGTTCGATCCCGTCCTCTCTAGGTCTTCTCTCACGCCTCACATCCCTGTACGTACCTCGTGCTTTCACAAGACCCCCAGCCCTCGTCTTGCTTGTAGCGTCGTGTGCTCGCTGAGCCATCCCCATGGGTTTGGAATGGCTTCAAGTGTGCATTACTTCAAATCAGATGTAAGCTCCAGACGCGAAACGTTGAACCGTTCAATCTCCCCTGCTCTGCCCACGCTCTCCCTTCCTCACTCTCGCTGTTTGCTACCATCCTCGCACACACTGCTGTCGTCCCTCTCCCTCCTTCAACCCATCCTCGTTTCTTTCCCTCTCCCAGGGAAATGGCCAGCAACGACTTGCAAGGGTCCATACCCGAGTCTCTGTGGGACCTCAAGGCGCTTGTCAAGCTGTCAGTCAGCTCCACTCAACGCACCCTCTTGCCTCTTGCCTCTTGCCTCTTGCCTCTTGCCCCTTGCCTCTTGCCTCTTGCCTCTTGCCCCTTGCCTCTTGCCCCTTACCCCTTGCCCCTTACCCCTTGCCCCTTACCCCTTACCCCTTGCCTCTTGCCCCTTGCTCCTTGCCCCTTGCCCCTTGCCCCTTGCCTCTTGCCCCTTGCCCCTTGCCCCTTGCCCCTTGCCCCTTGCCCCTTGCCCCTTGCCCCTTGCCTCTTGCCCCTTGCCCCTTGCCTCTTGCCTCTCACTGCATTCGTCACTTCCTCTCCTCTTTCCTGCTCCCATATGCTCCTCTCTCCTCATCGATTGCATCACTCCCTCAACGCGGCACCTGTTCTGTTACAAAGTGTGACATTGCTCTCCATCATGCCCTCGCAGCAGCTGCACCGTGCGTGCGTGTATACAGTATTCACGCACCTCCTCTCGCCCTCTCCTCTATCTCACCCGCTTCCCTCAGCTTTTGAGGTGTTCACAAAAACTTCCGCTCGCGCACTCCATCTCGTCCGTGTCCCTTCCCGCGTGTTCTCCCTTCCACAGTCGCTTCACTTCCCTGTTCAATCATGCGCTTCTACCTGCACTCCACTTACACTCCCACTCCCTTCCCAACACCCCCGTCCGTCGCTCCCCTTCCCCCCCCAACCCCCTTGCAACAACTACGACCCCCACCCTCCTCGTGCGCCCGTCGTGCTGTCTCATGACCCACAGCGACCTCAGCAGCAACCGCCTCTCAGGCTCGCTCTCACCCGCGCTAGGCACTCTCCCATTGCTACACACGCTGTAAGCTCACCTCACCCACCTCCTTCCCCACGCCCCTTTGCTGCCCTCCCGTGCTGCCCTCCCGTGCTGCCTCTGTTCCTTTGGCGTACCTTTCGCGTTGTTCCGCCCATCCTCCTCGGTTCCTCTTCCGCCGTTCCACCATAACCGCCCTGCCTCCCTCTCGTTCTCCTGCTTACCTCTTCCAACCTCTCGTATCTTTGGCCCCTGTTTCCCCCGCTTCCCTCCCCTCCCCTTTGCTCTCCCTCGCAGTCTCCTCAACAACAACTCCCTCCAGGGTGCGCTCCCAGCATCCGTGGGTGGCTTGTGGCAACTCGAGATGCTGTCAGTCTGGGAGGGAAGGGCGCAAGAGGGGAATGGGAGGAGAGTGGAAAGGAAGGAAAGGAGGGGAGGGAGGGGAGGGAGGGTTAAGGAGCCGAGGGGGAGAGGTGGAGAGGGGCTGAGAGGAGAGGTGTGGTGTGACTGGTTGAGGTGTGTTGGTAGAGGGATGTGTGGGAGGAGAAGACGGGAGCATGACAGTAGGTGGTCACGGGGAAGAACACGGCCATGCTGTGCTCAGTGCGCTTTTGGCATTTCTAGAGCTTGCTTCCCCCCTGCTGTTTCCGTGCAAGCCGGAATTGAAACATGGCCATGCTGCCACCCTTCCACCATGCCTTCTCCAACTCCTTTCATCTCGATTTCGCCCTGTACTTTGGCAATCCCTGCTTCACCTGCCCCCTTCTCCCTCCATCTCCTTATTCTGTTATGTCCCCTATTCTCCCTCCCCTCATCTCACCCTCCGTCATCTCTCCCTCGCTCCCTCCCTCCCGTCATATCTGCCATCATTCCGAAGCAGTGATGTGGCCTACAATGCTCTCTCTGGTGTCATCCCACCCACACTCGGCACCCTGCCCAACCTCCTCACTCTGTGAGCCGCCATCCCTCTGCCAACCTCTGCACATCCCTCTGCCAACCACTGCACATCCCTCTGCCAACCACTGCACATCCGTCTGCGTCAATGTCAACACAACCACCGGTGCATCCACCCACCCTCCCATCCACCCATCCATGGATCCACTTTCAACTCATCCACCGCACGCTTCTTTCCCCTCCCCTTCCCTCCTCCTCCTCTTCTCCCCGTCTCACCTTCCCCGGACTACTGCCTCCACTGTTCATAGCATTCCGCCTCCTACTCCACTCCCCCACCCCTTTTACCCCTCTCCTCCCCCCTCTCACCCCCCCTCTCACCCCCCAGCTCCATCTGGCCCAGCAGCGAGACCCCAGGCCCTGTCTGCCCTGCTCCCGCCTCTTGTCCCATTGTTCCGTTGCCCCTCTCCGCCTTCTGCTCGCTCTGCCCCCGCTACTGCACCGCCTGTGCACCAGCCGCAGGTGCCTTGGAGAGGAACTCGTGGGGAGTTAGTGGGGCGAGGGGGAGGGAGAGTGGAGGTTGGCACGAGAGGCATACGTGTGGGGTGTGAGTTGCATGTATGGATGCAGTGAGTGATCTGTCGAGGATTTGTCTCGTCAAGAATTTCCCAGACCGTCAATTGACATGGATGTTCCTAATCATCCTCATCCTCCACCATGTGTGTTCAGATCAGCACCATATCTTGACATGCCTCTCAACCCCATACCCTCACCACCCCATGCCCTCACAACCCCATGCCCCCAACGCCCTCAGGCCCACCGTTCAACACCCCCTCTGCTCATTTCGAATCCCCCGCTCCTCCCCTCGGCACCATCTCCCCTGCCCTCACATACCCACCAGGATTTCCCCCAGCACTTTCGGATGACTACTCATTTGAACCCCCCGAACAGCCCATCTCGTACCCCCTTGCCCCTGCTTCCCCTGCTCAATCCCCACCGGCACCCACGTTCCAAGTCCACCTCCCACCTGCACTCTACTCCTTTCCATCCCCTCCTCCTGCTGCTCTCGTCACCACCCCATCTTCTCCACCCCCTCGTCCGCCTCTCACTCCAGCCTCCACTCCTGGTTCGTTGCTTGGTTCTGCCCCCACCACTGCTCCACCTCCCTCGACTACCTCTGTCACCCTTGCTTCCCCCGTCCTCCACAAAACTCTTCAAGGCGTGGCAGCCCCACCCTCCTCACCAGCACCCCTCTTCCCGGCGGTAATTGCTGCACCACCGTTGCCTGTAAGCCCAGCGGCAGCTCCCATGCCGGCAGTTACAGTTGCCAAAACTGCTGATTCCTTTGTCAGCGCTCCTCCCGCTTCTGCTGCTCTGCATGGTAAGGCGGCTACTGGCTCTGTAGCTGGCACCACGATTACTTGCGTTGCTGTCTCATGGGGTGCTCTGCTGCTGCTGCTGGCTTTGTGAACAACCATTGAGCAGGAGTGAATGTCTTGGGCGAAGAGCTGTGTGAAACGGTTGGATGATCGGGTTATGCCTTTCACTAGTTTCTTTTATGGTGGACAATGAGGCATACAGTGCTATTGTTACGAGTGCAATTGAGTGAACGATGGAGAATTGCACTATCGAAGCAAGAGTACAATGAGCGAAGGCAAGAGCGAAGAACATATAGCGAAACTACAGTGGTAACGGTAATGGACTGTGGTTGTCGCGCGACGGGCCTGGGACTGAGGTTGGGAAAAAGTGTCGAAGCGGAGGCCCGGAGCGCGGGTTACCCGCCGAGCCGTGAGGTCGGGGTGCGATGTGCGAAGGTGGCGGGCGGATTGTCGATGCGAGGGTTGCGAGTGGTAACGGTGCTGACTGTGGTGCTACAGTGATGTACGCGTTGAGCAGGGATGCGAAGTAAGGGAAAGGAATTTTCCTTACACTACCCCCCCCCCTAAGGAGGTCCTCCTTACGAAAGTGCGTGTACATCCCTGAAATTTCGGCTGCGCAGATACTCGGTGAGGACGGGGTGGTTTTCGATTCTGTCCAGGGGAACCAAATTGTCTGCGGTGAGTGTACGGTCCTTCCAGCGGAGTAAGAACTCGATCCTTCGGGCTTCTCGATGGTCGCGAACTCTGTGACTCAGGATTTTCTCGGGGGTGATGATTGGTTGAGTTGGTGGTCTTGTCATGCTAGCTGGGCGATTGCGTGGCAGTTGGCTCGTGGACGGGACGTAAGAGCGAAGTAGGCTGACGTGGAATGAGGGGCTGACGTACCAGTCAGCAGGAAGGAGGAGGTGGGCGGTGACGGGTGTAAGCATGTGGCTTATGCGAAATGGCCCGCAGTATCGGGGGCGGAGTTTCGGGGTGATGGGCAGTCGGAGGTTCTGAGTGTCAAGTAAAACTAAGTCGTCGGGCTGGTAAGTGACATGTCTGCGGTGGCGGTCGGCGTTGCGTTTAGCGATGATGTTCGATTTTTTTATTGCGTCTACTGCCCGGGTCCGTGCTGCTTGTAATATTTCGGCGAACTGTTGTGCTCGTGGTACTGGGTTGTCGGGATTCGGGGTCATGGGTACTGTCGGGTCTTGTCCATAGTTTAGGTAAAATGGTGACTGTTGGGTCGTGGCGGATGGCGAGTTGTTGTACGCGAATTCGATTAGTGGCAGTTGTTGTTCCCACGTGGTCGGGTCGTCACACGTGGCCCTGATGAGCTGTTCCATGGTCTGATTTGTCCGTTCTGTCTATCTGTCGGTTTCGGGGTGGTATGATGAACTGAACTGCAGTCGCGTGCCGAACTGCTGCCACAGGTTCCGCCAGAAGTTGCTGGTGAATTTCGTGTCGCGGTCGCTGATGATCGCGGCTGGTATCCCGTGCAGTCGAACGACGGTGAAGATGAAGAGGCGTGCTGTTTCTTCGGCTGTGATTGATTTTTTGCAGGCTGCGAAATGTGCCATTTTCGTCAGTCAATCGACGACGGCCAGGATCGCGTCGTTCTCACTCGCCCCGGCTGGTAACCCCGTGACAAAGTCCATCGTCACCTGCTGCCAAACACGCTCTGAGGGTGGTATCGGCGGCAACTGTCCCGCCGGCCGCTGTCGTGATGATTTCATGAGCTGACAAGTGGGACACGATGCCACGTGTCGTTGGACGCCGGTCAACATTTCGGGCCAGTAATAATACAGCTGCAGCTGCTGCCGTGTTTTTTCTACTCCGAAATGCCCCGAGGTAACTTCGTCATGTGCCTCCTATAACAATAATTCCCGTAGCAGTGTATACCCAGGCACCCAAATGCGGTCATTCCCGGTTTTTACATAATAGACTCCCTTTGCTGGGGCGAACTGCTGTGAATTTCCTCCTATGAACAATGGATCCGTTTGGTACCCGTGGGCGAATAGGCCTGTCAGTAGCGGGCTTGTCTGGAAGAGTAGTATTGCTTGGATCTGGGCAGTGGGGCGGGTCAGTGCGTCGGCGATGTTCGGGGCTCCCTTTTTGTAAGTGATCGTGTAGTGAAAGTTGGACTCGAGGAAATCGAGCCAGCGAATCTGTCGTGGGTTGAGGTGTGGCTATGCGCGAAGGTACTGTAGTGATTTATGGTCTGTCCGTACTGTCACGTCCGCGCCAGTCAAGTAACAGCGCCATACTTTGAATGCGTGCACGATCGCAAGCATTTCGCGGTCGTTGTGAAAGTAATAGGCAGAAGTAGGAGCCATAGCTAGGAAAGCCCTAGTTAGGCAAGAGAAAGTTTAGGCAAAAGAGAGGATTGCACTAGCAAGAATGAGGATACAAATAGCAAACCCTAGAACGGTTGTACTCGCTATAGAGTACCCCACTACAGGCTAGAGCATAACATTCTGACACACCCCCATAGCCAAAGTGTGGAGTAATCAGCAGAGCAAGCAAAGCAGAACAAGCTCAGGGTGGATCACAATGTCACCACACATTCTGAGCACAAGTTCAAGAAGCAATAGTTTAAAGTTCACAATTATGAGCAAAGCTAGTGGTAGTCACAACGGGCAAGTGAGGAGGAGGAGGGACAGTGAGAGGAGAGGAGATAGGAGGCGACGGCTGAAGCTCCAGACACACGGGCAACAGGAGGCACACTGGCACAGCGGCTACCGGAACAACGCTCCGGACTACTGGAGTAACTGGCCCCGCGGCTAAAAGTAGCGGCAGACGAGCAACGGACCCACGGGCGACTGGCACAGGTGGACACGACTGGGCTACCGGAGCAACTCCCCGGACTACAGGTGCTGCTGGCGACACGACGGCAACCTCCGTTCAACTTCCCCAAACAGTCCCACCCCCTTTGACACACACCCGCTGCTACACCCCTAGCTCCACTCCCCCTTCACCCCCCCTTAGTACCACTCCAACGACTTCAATAGGTCCACCCCCCCTCAGCGCCAGCTGCAGTAGCGGGAGACGGAGGAGGAGGAGCAGGGAACGGCACACAGAAGCTGCACCCCCATACCCCCCACCCCCAAACCCTAATTCAGGAGAACGGGCAGTAGGAGGGGTAGGGCGCCATCAGAAGCACGGGGGACAGCGGGGAGGGCAGGGGCAGCGAGGAACGGGCCGCCCACGGGCCTGGCACAGCCTCCCGAACCGCGCGCAGGCGGCCCGAGCCGCGCGCGGGCCTGGCGCCGCCCGTACGGGCCGCGCGCGGGCCTGGCGCAGCCCGTACGGGCCGCGCGCGGGCCTGGCGCAGCCCGTACGGGCCGCGCGCAAGCCGTACGGGCCGCGCGCAGGCCACGACGGGCGACGGGGGGCGACGCGCGGGTCCCCGTCGCCCGTTGCAGCGCCTCCCGGGAGCGACGCGCGGCGTGACGTGGCAGAAACCCGCGGCGCGCCTCGGGGCGCACGGCGGGCAGAAAACCGCCTTGCGCCTCGGGGCGCACGGCGGGCTGAAAACCCTAATTTCGACACCGCGCACCACAGGGCGCGCGGCGGACAGGGAGTAGCAGTAGCAGCGGAAGCAGTGAGGTGGGGCCCACAGGCCAGGAGCATATCGCTCTAATACCATGTGAAAGTAATAGGCAGAAGTAGGAGCCATAGCTAGGAAAGCCCTAGCTAGGCAAGAGAAAGTTTAGGCAAAAGAGAGGATTGCACTAGCAAGAATGAGGATACAAATAGCAAACCCTAGAAGGGTTGTACTCGCTATAGAGTACCCCACTACAGGCTAGAGCATAACATTGTGACAGTCGTGTATCGGGTAATTTTTCTCGGGCGGATGCAGTTTTCGTGACTCGTATGCGATAGGCTGTAGACCACTGCCGAAATCCTGTAGCAGTACGGCTCCGATGGCGATATCGCTTGCGTCGGTAACTACTTCGATTGGGCGGTGTGGGTCGGCGATGCGCAGGACGGGCGGTGAACAGAGAACATTTTTCAGGGCAGAGATGAGAAGATGTGAACGAGAATGAATGACTAAGGAATGGAAGTGATACAAATATGCAACCCTAGAAATGTGTACCCCATATAGGCTACCCCACTATAGCCTACACAATATTATAATTTGACACACCCCCATAGGCAAAGTGGGGGAGAACAAGGGGTCACAAGACCAGTCAAGCAAACCAGACAAAGCTCAGGGTGGATCACAACGTCACCACACAGTCCGAGCACAAGGTCAAGGCCACAAGGCCAGTTCACATGCAGGAGTACACATATATATATATAAGGCTAAACAAGCAAGAGCAGGTATATATATATGTAAGAGTACAAGCAAGGTCAAGGGGTGAGCAAGTGAGGCAAGACAGGCACAAGACCCAGCTGAGTGCAGAAGCGCTGATGATCACAAGGCGGAAGTGCCTTGGTGAAAACATCAGCAGTGTTGGCCTCAGAGGCCACGTACGCAAGTCACAACTGACCACGCTGCTGCAACTCACGAGCAAGAAAGTAGCGGAGAGCAATGTGCTTCGTTCTGTGCTCCAGGCGCTGCTCTCGACACAAGGCCAGCATGGCCTTGTTGTCTAAGTACAGTACTGGAGGAGAACGAGGCGGCTCTCCGAGGTCAGTCAGCAGGTAGGTGAGCTAGCGAAGCTCCTGTGCAGCCATGGCCCCGGCGTAGATCTCAGCCTCACAACTGGAGCCGAGAACAGAAGACGAGCGAGTAGCCCACCACGAAACAGAGCCGGAACCAAGACTGAAGGTGTAACCCTGTGACGACCGCTGCGTAGCCTGGTCGTCAGCCCAAGAAGCGTCCGCGTGCCCAGTGAGGACCACTGGACTCCACCCTCCAAGCACTAGCCCCATGCCCGACGTACTGCACAAGTAGCGCAACACCCTTTTCGCTGCAGCCATGTGCTCTGGTCTGTGTCTCCCAGGAGCAACATAGCGTGCAAGAATGCTAAGAGGGTATGCAAGGTCAGGTCGTGTGCAGGTCATCAGGTACATGAGGCAGCCAACAAGCTCTGGGTACAGGCCACTCGACTCTACGGACTCATCCGATGGCAGAGCTGAGAGCGAGTGGCGAGTAGACAG